ACTAACGGGCACGCCCCCCCCCCCCCCCCCCCCCAACTGCTAGTTCCGGCTATGGGCTGGTAGGATTCTCGACGTCACCAAAGGGAAATCTCACGACTCAGGTTGTCGATGGCTCTGAGAACGGCGGATTCCTCGAGTCCCTGCGGGAGACTCCCTCCTCCCCCTTCGCAGATCTCTCTCCCGACGCTCGCATTCACGGGCAGCGGTGAGAGCAGCTCCAAAATCCCACCTGCAATTCCCCACGCGAGACGCAGTCAACCCTCGAATCGCAATAGAATTTAAGCTGCGGTTTTTCGTTGAGTATGACGAAGCAATTTTGATCGAGACTTTAGATCGCAGATTTCGACACGAGTTCTCGCATCGACGAAGGCGGGGCTCGCGATGGAGCCACCAATCACATCGCTCCATTCCGTCGCGCGACTTCCTTTAGCCCCGCCCACTCCCTTCGCATTACTTGAGCGTTTACGGCGTTTATTTTGAGGCTCGAACGGATCGTGCAGGTTGTATCACCGAGATGAGACCTTTCTCGCTGACCAGCCCGGGACGATGGTGGCCAAGGCCCGTGGCTTTTCAATTATGGTCACCAAAGTCGTCGTAACTGACCGTCGTGATACTCGCAGACGACGGAAAATGAAGCGGCCGAGCAACCCCGATCCTTCAATGCGTTTTCGCTCTTCTTGTATCGGTAACAGAGTTCCGTATAGGGAAAGGTGAGGATGTCGTCGTTGTCGAAGTTGAAGGTCGCGACTTCGCAGAGCGCCTTCCCGTCCGCCCATCGCCTTCCGCCCGACGCTGCCTCCTCGAGGCCGACCCAGAACTCTAGACGGGGGAGGGCGAAAGTGCAGGAGGCTGAACGAGATTCCGGATGAATGCTTCGTGGTACCGTTCGGTGCGAGAGGGGAGACGAAATCGAGGAATTTCTGGCGGACTTGGGGATCGTCGAGATGTATCGGCAAGGTCCCTCCGTCGGCGTCGCACAGAGCCTTCGCCGCCTCGAAGGTCGTCGCGCTCCCCGACTTCAGCGTGTAACTCCTGTTGTAAGGGAGCTGGCTCCGACATTCGAAGCCTTGCGAAACGAGTGTTTCAACGCGCGTTTCAGACAATCAGCACCCTCAACAGATCTCATTTCGATTCATAACATAGAAAGCTGCAGACCCGCTGGAAGGGAGCAATAGACACCAAGAGACGATTTGCAATCCGCCTTCTCCATCGAGTTCCTCGTGAAGTTGTAGTAAAAGCAGAGGGAATTGGCGTCCCAGTACTCGATGTCATTCCCGCTGTTCCACGTGCTCTCCACCTTCAATCCCACCCAAATGTCCTCAAAAAAAAAAAAAAAAAAGCACTCGGTGCACCAAGTTTCGATTGAGAATCTCGATCTCGTTTCATGCGATTTTTTTACAAATAGAAATCCTGAAAAATATTTATTTAATCGAAATCTCCTTCCTCGAGTATGCTTAGGGCCAACATGCAACTTTTAGACGATAGCAGTTCCTCAGCTGCCACGGAAAGAGCGTATCGCCCCTAGGACAGATATAATCCGAGTGCAACAACGAAGGGGAACCGGATCGTACTGTGGAAATTCCATCAATGGCAATTGTCCATCTGTGTCTCCATTCAGAGTTCGATTCTTTCCGGCTTCCTCTTGGTATAGCCTTTTTTCTGGGCTGCAACATTTTGAATGCTTCCCTGGAGGTCATTGGCATATTATGAACTTATATATGGGTTCTTCGGGTTCCATTCTTGAGTCCAGATTCATCGACAGCAGAATTTTCCACTCCAAAGAGTATGTATCTGATGCTGCATCGAAATTCGAATGTCCATTCGTCCGGACGTGAGGTTCAAGAGGGTAAATGTTCAGGCGTAGTATTTGTAATTTGCAATTCACATTCACGCTTTTCAACGCAATTTTTTTCTCTATTCCTCGTACGTTAAAAGTGGTAACTGATACACTCAAAAATGGTAACTGATACATCCGCGAATGGTTCTGTGCCTTTTCTAAATAAAAAAAAGGCCAAGAAAAATTCGAAACGATGATCGAAAAATGAGTTTCTGGCCCCAAATCATCTACGACCGGAATCATCGCGAATCCCAGAGCAGAAAGACGCAGAGAAAATGCTCACTTGCGATCTTCTTCACCTCGTTCCACGCCTCGACGCTGTCCTCGATCTCGGGCAGGGCCCCTCGGAGCCCCCCGCAGATCTCGGCCGCGCTCGCTCGGGTCACCCGCAGGGGGGAGCCCTCCAGCAGGGTCACGTTCCCGGACTGGCAGTTCTCACCGTGTGCGCCTGGGCGTGGCACGAGGAACATTGGAGTACTGTATTTGGCATTTTAGCATTTAAAAAATGCATTTTGCCTCAAGGTGCGTATTTTGAAATGCATCAACATATTAAAAATGCAGCCCTATTTCAAGGTGCCTTCTGTGTTTCGATAGTGAATCATTTTGGAAGTGCTCCTGGAGGTATTCTTGAGCGTTTCATGTTAGAAAATATGTTTTTTTTTCCCCCCAGTATCCGGTATTTTCTGTGGACAAGCGTGGTTTCAGACAAGGATTTAACGCATAATTATGATTTTTGTATTTAATATTTTAAATGCCATACGATTGGCATTTTGTAGGGCTGTACCGATGTATCGGCTACCACCGGTATCGGCGGGTTTGCAAGATGCTTATGCCGGTGCCTAAAGGAGAGGCTAAACATACAGGTAAAATTTATGGGAAAAAAGAGCGAACTCGAAAAACATCGATCGGATTATATTTCAGCTCTATTCTAGGAACTGGCTGAGGAAAATAGCGGTGAAGAACGGGAAATCATAGTCCCTCCTTTTATGTAATGCATTTGCTAGAGGAATGTCGTTAAAGGCTCTAAACAGCAGCAATAGGCAACAAGCTGACCACTGACGACACAGACAGTCGTAAATATGACCTCTGTCGTTTTTAGGGGCTCCCCTGAGAAGTACCTCACGGTTTCCAAATAGGTCTATATGAATTATTATGCATTTTCATGTTCTCAATCTTCAGACAACAATCGGCACCGGCCGATGGTCATGGGATGAAAATCGGCCATCGGTACGGCCCCAGCATTTTGCCAACTTCTACGAAGAATCTGCATGAATCATCTCGTTCAACACCTTGTTCGATTTACACTGCAGCCACAGTTGCTGCTAATGTGGCTATCGGAAGGTCGCGATTTAAAATACGAATCTCCAGATGTCGGACTGCTTCACATTGCACGCACAGGCAGAAATGCAAAGGAAGCAGAGAATTTGTCGAAATTCAAGCTCGTACGCGAGCGAGAGACTCACATTGAAAAAGCGAGAGGAACAGGACGGAAGAGACGAAGCGGATGCCCGTGGATGGCCCCATTGACAGTCTGACCCGCTCCAAGGCCCCTCGCCGTTCGTCGGCCGACGAATTTGTATCTCGTGATGGCATCGATCTTCGATCCCATTATCGGTGGAGAAAGGGAAGGGGTCGTTAGAGTGATTCTTTGGGGCTGATGGCACTCTTCGTGGTGTTCGGGCCAATCTGGCATTATTTATTCGCGTTCGATCGGGTCTCGCGAATGGGTTCGCATTGTCCGTGCGGGTAAATTGTCGGAATGGGTGTTAGAGAGGGTTTAGAACAAAGAAATAATTGTGGAAACAGCTTTATGGGTTTGTACGGCTACTTGCAGACCTGCATTCGTTCGGATCATTAGCGCAGCAGCGATCCATCTGACAATAAAGGGGGCATTTTGCTCGGTGCTGGGCCCCATGGAGCTCATATAATAATCTCGGACACTAGGGGAATTTCTGTGCGATCATCAGCCGGATCCTTGACCAAAGACGAAACTTTAAAAAAATTTTATTTCCTGTGCACCCACTGTGCTTCTCGGAAAACGATGTCTCTTGATTCGTTCGTACATGAGTTGTGCGTTAGACTGGGTCTGGTGTCGAGTTCGTCATCCCCGCCCCCCCCTTCCCCCCCCCTTCCCCCCTCCTCTCCTCTGTTCCCTTGAGCCCCTCTTTGGCGAAGCCCTGGCTACGCCACTGGTTAATGGTTAATGGTGCTTGCCCTTGTCCTTGTCCTTGCCCTTCGATGCACTCATCGACCCACCATCGATCCTGCATTTTACCGGCTTCACCTCTCTTGGCGTGGAGGAGGAAGCTGTCGAGAAAGTGACATGACATGAAAGAACATGAAAGAGACAAGAGATGAATTTCACCCTCGGATCGTGAGTTCGCCTTAACGGCGAAGAGCACTGGATGCAATTACCAATTGTCGGATGAAATTGCCAATTGTCGGATGCAATTGCCAATTGTCGGATGCAATTGCCAATTGTCGGATGCAATTGCCAATTGTCGGATGCAATTGCCAATTGTCGGATGCAATTGCCAATTGTCGGATGCAATTGCCGAGCACGATGAGGATGTCCAATGCAGCAAAGACGACGAAGATCATCGATCTCTTCGTCCCCTCGCTTCATGTCGTATTCCAAGGTATTGCAAATCAGGCCAATCGCAGTTGCGGCTTCTCCAACAATATAAAGGTCCTGGAAAGAATCTAATTCCTCCTGCAAATGAGTGAATCATGAAAAATGGTGGAGGAAAATAGCGGTATAAGAGCTGTTATCGAATGGTCAAGATTTAACGACACGTTTTTCTCTTCGACGATGGACCATTGCAAGTTGATTATAAAACTTAACAAGAGCCTCGAACACGCATGGGAGACTGATTGCTCAATGAAAGACTTGTTCAATATGTCTACCCCCCTGTTCAGTAACGTAATGGTAACGGTAGGCGCAGGATTACTTGTGCAAGACAGCCTTCAGCTCGGACATGTTGAAAAATTATTCTCTATTGCTTCCTTCAACTCCGCAATTACGTGCGGGGTTACGTTCAAGCACTTTATCCTTTAATCCTTTTTATCCTTTAAATAGTCCCGCAGAAAGTTGTCACACGGATTGAGACGAAGGGATGTCGGTGGCCAGGTCGACCCGTCGTCATGGTCATCAAGGAATCTGTTGGACGGAACATTCGCTCGGCCCGAATGACCTTGACGTTGCAGGACAGATCCTTTTCCCCCAAATTTGTTTTTGTTTTTATCATTCGCAGAACGGTTTGTCTTCCAGGTGCTGCTCGTGTCCTTTATTCATTACGAAACTTTCGCTGCAAAGTAGCTACTGCAGATCCACTTTGATGGAAACATTTCACGATAAATACTTTCTGCTTTACGCCGCCATGCTGCTACAGTGGTGGAACTTGGTGGAAATAAATATGCCCTAAGCGCTCATGATTGTCCGTAAGGCTAGAAACTTGTCAACAGTTATATTGTGTGCAAATGGTACGATGAATACATACCCGACGTGTGAGATATTAGTGCATATACGCAGCCTGAAATGCAAACAGTTCGGGTCATCATGGTGGTCCAGCGGACCCAACCCCCAAGCAGGCACCAGCGACTCACCTCTTTCACGCCTGACGGCATTCTGCTCTCTGGTCCAGAGCGAATTCCCGATGCGCATGGGAAGGCCGACGTCGCGAGACGGGTTGGTGGACGCGACTGGAGGGCGTCAGCGGTCAACTCGGACACCAGGCGGGTTTGCACATGGCGGTGCACTCGCTTGGAAGTTACGCTGCGAGAGATCGCTCCCAGAGACGGCCGTGGTCCACGAGAGGAATTCCACGAAATGGGAGTTTTTACCATTCCTTTGAAGTATAGGCTCCCACAGGCAATGGTCGCCTATGGGAGCGATCTGTCATACGAGTGACATCCATGCGAGTGTACTCGCTCGCTTAAATCCATACTTCCAGCTTGGAATGACGGATGGTACATGGCACTGAAGCTTCCACGTTTCTAAGATTTTTTCCCCTCTGGAACGTAAGTTAAACTTTTTCTATATTCAAGCCTCAGCTGAGAAGGTAAGGCCTGAATGTAATGGTGTGTTCTGAATAAAATGACTGGAGAGGGAGGAGAATAGTTGGAGTTTCCTATTTGTTCCTATTCTGATGGAGTCTTTTCCTCTGCAGTCCTTATAAGACTCGCATTTAACACTGATTCCTGGCAATTTGAATGCACTATGGGCGTAGGACGTCATATGATGGCTGCGGGGCTCAGTGTTAGCGCAGTGACGTTTGCTTCGTCAGATACGACATGATGGCCCAGCACAGTCACATTGCAATCAGAATGCAGCCATAAAAAGCATTTGGCGTTTTTTTAAATGCCAAATGCGACAGATCTGTAGAGAAATGCCGAAACCGCTGCAGCCAGCGGTTTCAGCTCCGGTCTGATGGGAGTAGCAGAACTAGAGGAATCAGCGCAAGTTGAGCAAACTTCAAGTGAGATTCAGGTTGCGGAAAGACTTGCTTGTGGGATAGTAAGTGGATAGAACGTGTTTGGTGAGCTACCCCTATACATAGGCGCCGAACGCACGGGAGCGTGGAGAGAGCGTGCCCCCCCCACCCCTCCCTTAACACTATAACTGGGGGGCAATGATTCCCCAAGAATGGTCAAAGTACACCGAAAGTGTGGCAATTTTAACTTGGGAAACAAAAATGTTGTTTAAAAAAAAAAAGGCACTATTTTCCTATCCGTTTAGTGCTCCAACTGGAGTATCCCCAGTACCACGTAGGGGGATGGGGTGGAAGGGCGAAGACGCAGCGGTGCAAATTCGAAAGGTGAAAGGTGTAGACCAGGGGTGTCAAACTCATGGCGTCATATAGGGCTTTTCCATGGGAATGCGGCCCACGGGCCGGGAGTTTGAGACCCCTGGTGTAGACGGTGATAAGAACCCTACGGTGGGGTGGGGGGTGCCTAGGTGTGCTTATACCATATCCTGATCGTCAAACCATCTATATCAGGTCCAGTGGCGTAGCGAGGGGCTGGGGGGGAGGTTTTAGCCCCCCCAAGTTTGGTTCAAGGCCACCCAACTCCAGTCTAAATGCATCCCCCCCCCCACCCACTGGGCGAGGAGAAGTAGCCCCCCCCACCGTTCCGCTTAACCCCCCCATCGGCGAAATTTCTGGCTACGCCGCTGATCAGGTCTGACCATAAATATCTGCATAATTTAAATTAATCCTAGCTGTGGCGTAAGCAAATGGGGTGGGGAGACAAGCAGCTCTGGTGCTCCCCGTGCCCTTCGGTAATCACCTAAGACCTGTGTTTTTGGGGTGGACGAATAGGAAATCGTAATTGTTAAGGCACCAAACACCGACATTTTCGTCGAGTCCCATGGTCCTCTTTCCTGGAGTCCCGTTTCCTGGTCGGTAGTATCGTCGGTTCTAATTCCTGTGAATGAGGGCAATGCCCTGTGCCATGGAGTGCCTTGAGTGTAGTCCATCTGTTCATCCTAGCTTTAGACTATGCCTTTCGGCATTGGCCAGTCATACTTTCCCCGTCATGAAATCCTACTGACGCCTCTAGTTCTTGGAAGAGACTATTGGAAGGTCTATAAGATCCTGTGACCAAGGTTGATGTGTGTCTTCATTTAAGAGTGCATTCGAAGTTCCGCAATATGGCGACGTACATGTGAATGCATGCTTGAAAATTTGGAAATGGGAATCGGAAGAGTGGTAGAAATGAATGTGTCAATTTCGCGTGAGTTTCTGTGCAAAGCCTGGCTCTGGGCGCTACATTAAAGCTCCTTGCAAATGCAATTAGCAATAATTAATTTTTTCTTTTTTTCTTTGCTGAGAAATTGGCCTTAAATTCAGATTGACTTCGTAGGCTTCTTGTTACTTTCACTCATAAAGTTCACTTATTTAAGTTGTGCTTGTAGGCTTACCCTCTTACACAATTTTGCGTTATAGGGGGCCTATAACGCAAAATCAAAAATGTAAAAAGTGAAAAGGAAGTAGGTAAAGTCATTTAAGTGGTTGTAGACCTAAAACTTCCTACATTAAAGCGTTGGCAAATTGTGCATGTTTTTTTCCCCCCCATTTCAGATTTGGGATATTCAGAACGTGAGAACGTTGAGAAGCCAAGTGTCTTCCCAAGGCTAGGCCTAACATCACCCTATGGCCGTAGCAATTGATATCCACAAATCCAGGGATATGATCCCTCAGATTTGTAATGGCAGTTTAACCTATGAAGATATCCTTAAGGGAAGAGGCTCAATTTTTTGGGTGAGTTCACAAGATAAAGTCAGCCTGTCATAACGTCATGGCTAGCCTAAACAAAAGCCTACCTTGTCTCTTAGACTTAGACTTTTTATTGCAAGTTACTGGCTATATCCAGGGTGAATCTGCCCATGTCCAAAATTAGTTGTTCCAGGGTTGTGTTTCTGCAAGACTCTTACTCATATAATACCATATACTTTAGCTTCCTAGCCACTTGAGACTCATTTGAAGTTCATGATAAAAATAACTTGAAATAGAGCATGTGGGCAGAAATTAAACCTGTAACAGTAATACAATTTTGATACTCACACAATGTTATTGATGTCAGAGTTGGAAGCCTGGCTGCAAGTTCTTTCCCTCAGAGGAGGTGCAAGCAGCAGGGTTATGAAGGGAGGAGTACCTCTGTAATCCTGAATATTGTTTGTCTCTAACCATGCTCATCATGCAATGTGTTTTTATGTAAATCTCAAGGTGTTGTAGTTCATGCTACTTTAGGAACTCACTATGCTTAATGCACCTCTGTCCGTATATCTGGGCAATGCAGCCACAAGATTTGCTTATCTGAGCCAGTTAATTATGGTTCATGTTCTGTGGGTTCCATGTAGGATGTAGATCTGCTAGACTGCAGTGACTTGGCCTATCCTAAATGTAACATCTTCCATGTTCAATCAAAAGCAGTCACTAAAGTTACAGTTCACATTGGCTTACATTTTGGTTTCAGCAGATCACCTAGATGATATGCTTCAGATTTTCTCTGAGTTTAAAAATGGGTCATACCTAAGGATTAAGGCAGTGTTGCTTAACTAATAGAATAAATATGGAGTAGCCACTGTAAGAATGCCATTGAAAGTTAAGAATGCTCTTGTGATTTTGACTTCTGTCAACTCATGATGTCAGTTGGTGATGTCTTCAACTTAACTTGGCATTGTTGAGTCATGTTGAAAATGAGGTAGGCCCAACATTTTCTTTGTTTACATTTTACTCACTGTTGGATTCCTGGAAGTACAAGATTATCAGTTGAACACTCAGGCCTGAATGCTGAAACCTTCCTTAGTTAATGCCCATTTCTTATGGGGGGGGGGGGGGAAGGAAACAATTTATTTTTCCTTTCTTTTTAGTTTTAAGGCCTCCCTTAATCTTGCCTAAATGAGATTTGTGTACTCAGGCCTCAATTACTCTGCCACCAGTTAAAATTCTAGCTTTTCAAAATTCATTGTTTTTCCTTAAATTTTTACTCCTTTTAAGAAATCCATTATTAAGTAGACATGAACAATCAACATAGGCCCATTGCTAAATATTCAAAATGCTTAAACAAACATAGAGACAAGGATACATATCACCATCAGAAGGCATTATGGTCTATGCTCTCTACCACACATGTATCTAAGTATAGACATGGGAAAAATGATGACAACTTAGTACAGCTCACTTGCTTTTGAGGGGGGAGAGAAAACTCATGAGGGCCAAAGTTGATGGTCATGGTTGGTGAGTTTTAATTGAGTTTCATGAGTTATACTGCATGCCAAATATTAAAAAAGCCACCTTTTAAAATGTTGTCTCTGTCCTCTACTATTGGATGAATTCTTTTACAGGAATAAATAGGAATTTTCTTGCTTGTTGCCTTAGCTAATGAGATGAATGAGTGCACTTAAGTGTTCTTGTTCTCTCTACTAGGAGAATGAAGGTCAGTCTTCCTACAAGTGCAGCCATCTTCTTGTATCTTTGGTGTATCACATAAGATCTGACCTGACTCAGTGAGTTCAGACTCTTCCCTCACCCTCATATTTCCTTTATTGATATCTGCATTACTATGCTTCCCATATTTAGTGAGCCTCCATTCTTTGAAGGAAAAAGTAGATGCTGCCTGTGCAATTGACTATATGTGTGTCTTTATGTTTCCATTAATTATGGGTTATTGATTGGTCAATTAAAAATGTGTTAATTGACTGGTCAATATTGTCAATTATGGTCAATAAGGCCAACTTTTATTTTGTTTTTTTCCTGCACAGTGCACCATTTGTATGTCATGACTCACAAGTGATAGACTAGGCATGCAAAATTGACTGGTCAACATAGTCACTTCTGTCCATTTATGAACAATAATGGTCAACAAGCCCAACAAAGGGTTAGGCCTTATGACTGTATATGGTAATAAATGAACATTTTGACCAGTCAACTTCTCATTGCTAAGGTTGACTTTACCATATAGATTGCATGAGTTGAAACATTAAACAGTAATCAGTCATGTTTCGGAGGTGAATTCTGTGACTAGGTAGCTCCATAAGTACTCTGAATATTGAGGAATGCAACACAGTTTTCAGAACTGGAGTTGCATGGTTTAATTTCAGTATTTGCTATCATTTATTCCCATTCCTGACAGAAAAAAGAGCCTCTCCCTTAGTCAAGGAAGTTCTTCATAGCTAGATCAATTTTTTAGGTTTGGCATAGGCATAATGCAAGTACTTGTCCCTTGATCACAGACTCATAAAATGATTTGATACTCTGATGCAGACTATTGACCAAGACCATGATAGGCCTGGCATGAAACTAAAGTTCTAATGCTGTAACTTAGATCTTGAATCTTAACTTTTGAAGTCATTAAGGCTGGAAGACCTTGAATATCAGGCTATGCCTGTACATACTCTACAGCACTTAGGTGAGGGGTCATGGTAGTGAGAGCATTTGCTATAATATTTTCATACCCAACAGGTGCCACAGTCTATAAGTTTGACAGGCTGCATAAATAAAACTTTTAAATGGAACTGGCTCTATGGCTTTAGTGCTTTAGGATACATTTTTATTTTATTTATTTATTTAAAAAAAAAATGGACTGGGACAGTTATACACAGACAAGGACAAATGCCACAAGCGGTGACACTAAGTAGAGGAAAGGGAATTCTATATCGGACATCCCTGACAGCATTGCCCCCTCTTCCCATCATGATGTATCCCATTTTCACGGGTCTGGGGAAGGTGGTGGCAACTTCGATGACACTCCGGCCATAGGCCCTCCATCGCTGCACATCAGGCCGATGTGGCGGGTGCTATTGAGGTGCACCAAGTCCCTACATTTCACACCATGGAGCACAGAGTGGCCTATGCTTCAGCCCAAGGGAGAGCAGGTAACACCTGGAAGCAGCTGGGTGAACTGTTGACCCAGGAGAATACCACCTGCTGCCGGTCGGATTTGAACCTGGACCTCCCACATGCGCACGGGCTTTATCCACTGAGCCACGGTGATGCAGTGCTTGAGGATAAATTACCACAGTCATGAGCTATATAAATATATCTTAGTTCAATGAATAAATCAATAAAAAGTAGTCATTAATGGTCAATTAAAAGGTGGTCAATTGACTGTCCCATCTTTAAGGACTATCACAACTATTTTGTCAATCTTTGCTTTCAATTTTTACCAAGTTTTCCTTGCTGATCAGGAACATCATAAACATGACTGATACTGAGTTTTTGGAAAACCTAATTTTATATCAAGTGTATCAAATAATAAAAGGATGAATGGATGCCAATAGAGTCTGTGTTTAGCTCAAAATTTTGGCAAAAAATATCATCATTCATCATTAGAGCCTGCTTTTGATTTGACTGAGCTATTTAAAAAATGTTTTAATATGGTTGTTCTGCTGATGAAGTGAAATCAGCTGAAGTTTAGCAATCATATAATTAGACCAAATGCTGTAAGTGCAAACTGAAGCTTCTGTCAGATATTGTGGTCGAAACACTACTACATGTACAATCCTTTGAATTTTCGAGTATCTCATAGAGCAGCATAGGGTGAAGTGAGTAGTGATTCTTGCTTTGTCCCAACATCTAGTCATCCCAGCACACCATCTCCAGACATTCTCTTATCTCTCTCCCCCATTTTTTTCATTAGTCATATTTATATCATTTCATCTGTACTCCAGTTGGTCTACTCAAAGGGACCCAACTATTGGACTGGTTGGTCTTTACCCAACATGGTTTTTATGTTTTTTTTTTTTACCACTCTCCTTAGTTCCAGAAAGAAATAAGGCAGTTACAGAGTCACTCGGATGTCTGTCCATGTATGTCAGTGTGAAGCTTTTCAATTTGTGGAAATTCTTGGCCTACTGCTTTGAACTTGACCTGATTTTTAATCAATCATGATGTAATTTGTGTTCCTCAGTTTATGAAAAACATTATCCCACAATGACCAATTTATTTTGAAATCAATCTTATGTTTGGAAACTATTATAAAACTGGAATGAGCTATGCAGTCAAATCTTTGTTGCCCTATGCACCAAAAATGTGCAATTGAATCTTGTCTATGCTATTTCTGTATTCTCTTCTTTCATTCTTCTATCAATTCCCCATCATTTAAATGCATCATCTGTGATTCTCTCAAAAGAGGTATACCACTGCTTTTCAATATGGGTACACCTAATAGAATTACTCTATAAGTTGCAGACAAAGGCTTAGGAGTAGAGACAGATCTAAAACCAGCTGCTGGTGCTTGAACTCAAAATCCTTTAAGGAATTTATTGGTATTCTCCTACTTTTTGACAGCCTGAGTAGCTTCATTTATAAACTTTCTCAATGTAGTTCTGGGTTTGCCAGAGCTCCACTCCAGTTTAATGAGCATACCTGTTCTTAAATTTTTTTTTTGTCATGATAATGTGACAAGACTTATTTGCATCATTGGATATTTATATATTGGAAGATACCTTATGGACCCAGTTATTGATATTTTCAGCACCCAAGCTTTCTTCCTCTTGTAACTGTCACTGGCTTATATTTGCAGATTTTTGAACAGGAGAGCAGAGAAGGAAGAGGCATGTATCCCACAGAAGCCTGCACATATACCCTTTAGAAGCTTACAAGCAGGGCCAATCACAAAGCAAGGGCCTAGAAATTCTGAAGAGAACCCAAGAGAGAAATTAAAGCCACCACATAGCCCAAGACCCCAACTGCTTTTAGGAGATTTCATCATGACAGCCACACAAGAAAAATCCAAGAGGCGAATCAAGCCAATGCGTGTGAATCAGAACCGGGAAATGAGACCAGGCATGAACCCTTCCTTCCTGGCACCATTAGAGAAGAGCAAGACATCTTTGGAGTCTGAACGTCTTGACTTACGCCGGAAGAAAGAGGAATCCAAAAACATCCTTGAAAAACAACAAGAACGAGTTGTCCCTGAATCTCTGCCAGGCTCTGTAGCATGTTGTGTGCTTGATCAACCCAAGGAAACATCCACTTTGGATCGCCTGGCCTTGTTTTACTGCCATGTTCTAAGGAATCATCACATTCCAAATGTGTTTCAGGACATTCATCTCATGTTTTCTGTTCTGGTTTCCAGTCAAACCCATAGATATCATGATGACTCATCTATACCATGCACATTTATGCTGTATGAGGATGCTGTCTACTTCTGCATTACCTGCTTATTGAAGCTGCCTGAATACTTGAGGCTCCTTGACAAGGGTGTTCTGGAGTTCCTTGCAAATTCTTTCAAGAACTTTTTGGACAAAGATGCATCTTTGATCTTATCTCACTTGAATAAAGGATTAGGAAATCACACAGATGAGAGAGTGAGGAGCAGCTTGGAGTCCTCAACTGGCCTGGTTGGATTTGATGCTGAGATTGACATTCGAGGGAACTTCCTAACAGATGAATCCTTCCATGCATTCAAAAAGCAACGGGATGTTTTCTTTGATGTGCTAACTACATGGCAAAAGTGCCACATAGATTCCAGATGGGACTTCAGAGTTGGTCTCTCACGCAAAATTCAGAATCTTCATTCTCTTTCCAAAGATGTAGTCAATTGGAATCATTTAGCTCGCCTGCTTGTTGACCAAGTGCTGCTTGGAGCACCATCCCCATCTATGGAATTGGGTAAGTCTCTAATGATGGGCTTTGAATTCCTTGGCAGTTTAATTTTTTTAAAGAGAACTTCCTCATCCTTGAAGGTTTTGCAGCAGAAGATCATTACCCCAATCGCCTCCAGAAGCTGGAAGAGAGACTCACCAAGCCACAGGTATGATTTTTTTTGTTTTATCCATTCTCTGCTTTTCTTGGATTCTGCAGTTTCTTGAAATGGTACTCTCATAGGCCATGGCGAGAGATCCAGCACCAAAGCCAACATTCTCTGGAATAGAAGAATTTTTCCAGAACTTCCTCACAACTGCACCAAGTTACACACTGATAGAGCATGTGAAAGGAGTGCTAAGAGCCAAGATCATTGAATTGAATTCAGCTGACCTTCACCTGACCATTGAGGAGGCTCCTTCCTCTGACTCAAGTTTGTTGAAACTTGGTGCTCTTTCATTCTTAGAACATTACCGTTGTTTTGTTTGCTTGAAAGTATTGTTCTTACTCTTTTCTTTGGGCTATGAATCTGTCAGATTTTAATGCAACCATCTAGAAATGGATGCATTAATGGATGGATGAATGCAAGTCATTAACTCACTGAGTTTCCTAACAGGTCTTTGCCCATAAGTTCTTATCTGTTCCAACCTTTTGTTGTGATTCCTTCTCCGTCTCCCCCATCATCCTACTTCCACTTCACCCATCAACCTGTCCAGGAAACAATCCTGTTTCTATAAATCATTTCTCTTTAACTTTTTTTATCTTCTGCATGGAATGTTAAAAAAAAAATTTTTTTTTACACCCATGTTGTACAGTTAAGCACTTAGAGCATCAGGTAATGTTGTTGGAAGGCTGCTTTAGTGGGTGAGATTCATAAGATGAGTTCAGTTTTAATGATCTCATTTTCTTTTCATGATAATTTCATTAGTGGTGCAGATGGAGATTGACTCTCCTTAGAGTAAATCTCATTATTTAATTTCCCTAGACGTCTATTGAAAAATAAGGTCATGTCAACCCTTTGATTAGGAATATAAATGTTCAAAATACAGTCGAACTTGGTTATAACGACCTCAGTTATAATGAAACCTCAGTTTTAACGACAAAAGTGCCAGGTCCCGGCATAGAGCCCATAAGGCACGCTACAACTTACCTCAGTTATAGCAAACTCGATTATAACGAAGCCCATTGAAGGTCTCACAGACAAAATCGACAACGTTTATGTACCTAATCCGTCATTCTTAACTGAAATTTCCATCATCTGAAAAATTAGGGTTGGCGAGCCATAACTTTATATTTCCTGGATTTGGCATTCCTTGAGAGTCATCTGGGTGTGGCTGGAGCAATGTTAGGGAGGGATAATCCCCAGTAACTAAGATCACCTTATCTTCAGTTGCCATCTGCATTTCTCGTTGACAACATGGCCAATGGAAAACGAAAGATGCAAGCCTTCATGATTGAAAGGAAAGTGTGCTTGATTAGTTTAACAGAAAGAGCTTGAAGTGAAGCTAACATCGCTCGCGAACATGGACATTGTTCATCTTTGTGCACAATTTGGGAAAATCGTGACAGCTTCATCCATGCTTACAAGAACGTGTCACAAAACAAGAAACCTCCTAGGTCTGTCAAGATGACATCGATGAAGCCTTGCTAAAATATAAAGTAGTTCAAGGTCCAAAGAAGTGCGAACATCACGATTAGTGGATTAGTTCTAGTTGCTGATGATGTAGGATAACAAATTGGGTACCTCATGATGTCCTCAATTGTGGCTTTGTTTAAACCAAGGTTCTTGCAGTAACCAAGCTTACTATAAGCAAGGTGTAAATACACATATCTCATGGACTTTAGGTCAGGACCAGACATTCTTCATCACTATAACTGAGGTCTTTATTACCAAGTTTGACTGTAATGATCTCTTGTGGACTTGCCTATTTTTCTTCATGAAAATGCTTTGGAATTCAGTTGAGTGTGTACCTGATGAGGTGGAAAAGCTGTCATCATCCATGCGCACCTTGGGTCGGCTCTATGGCTGGATCATATTCCATCCCTATAAGGATGTTGGAGACATTCCTGATACTAGTCTTGTAGCAGAATCTCTCAAGGCTTTCCATCATCAGGTCTGTTCTTCCTTTCACTTTACTATGTGTTGTTTAGATACCTTCACTATTGCCACTATCGACCACCCTATTTCTGCACATGGCTAGAGTCCTTTGAACATGCTTAATTGTCTGCTTGTAATTCATGTTCTGTGCTCTCTGATGTCACTTTTTAAACCCACTAAAGACAGGGTGAGAACAAGAGGCAAGCAACCCTTTTGTTTATACTAGCTCACTCCAGGACTCCTTTCTTTTTCAGGCTGTACTAAATTTGGACATAGCTGGGTTGCTGCATCAAGCATGTGAAGAAGGCCATCTACTTCTCACCCTCCCTTGGATCCTGGAATGTTTGATTCAGATTGACCCCATCTCATCATCTATCAAGCCATATCGCTCCATTTATGCTCAGTTGGTCATGCTACATCGTGTCTTGGGCTCATGCAGAACATTGAGGTGGGGCAAGAACAATCGTGAGGCACTGACACTCCTCCTTGGTTGGTTTTTCTCTGTTGCTCCCTTCCGAACTGAGCAGTTTTTTGAAGAGAATGACCCCCAGATATGGAAAGCAATGAACTGTGAGAACAGGTCTCGAAGATCATTGGACACTAGTTTCTCCTTGTCTGTGAATCAGGTGCATCGCATGTGCCCCTTCTTGAGGGGAATCCCCACTCTCATCGACAGGTGCTGTGGTTCAAATCATAGTGTTGGTTCACTGAGGAAGATCACACCATTTTCTGGTCTTGGGAGGGGAGAATCTCAGATTGAAGATACACTCCAAGTAGGCAGCATATTTAAGTCTCAATTCTCCTCCATATCTTTGAAATGTAATGATGCTTTGACTCTTATGACAGAGAAAATTGGAAGTTAGCTTCTTCCAGTCACATGGAAAGTCATTGAAGAAAACAGTGGACTTTGTGGGTGAACGAGTGGCATCCCGGGTTGTAAAAGAGATACGATACAAGATTCTTCCTGCTTCAATTCAAAAGGGAATGGCTGAAATCGATTGGTTGGTCCAAGAGATGGAAAAATATCACCCAAGCACCCTTCCTCTACCATCTTTGTCTGGATTGGTAAGGGCAATATTTGTTTCTACTTGTCTTCTTTTTCTTTCTTTTCAGAACAAACATTTCATGCTGAGGACATAAGTGTAGCATGGATGGAAAAAGTGGGGAGGGAGGGCACAGAATTCTGGGATACTGTTCCATATTTCATACATCTTTTCCATTCTCCCCCTCCCAACACTATGCCACTGGTTGGAGCTAAGGTCAGGGATAAAGCAAAGTTGTATGCCTAATCATGAAGAAAGGGAGGAGAGGCCAATAAGTGGTTTGGAAATCATTGTCACAGCTCTTTCCTAAGCAACCCCTAATATTCAAACTCTCTGCAGAATCATTTTCAAGTGTTCCTGGATCACCTGTCCATGGCATGCATGGACAAGGCTCTGAGGGATATCAAGGAGTTGACCAATGCTGAAGTGAAGATGCGATGTTGCCAAGTTATCCCCCTTCTCCTCTCCAAAGATACTGAGACCACTATAGTTGATACTGCTGCAGCATTTGCAAGTGAGGAAGCCAGTAGGAAGGTATCATCTTGGACCAAGGCACATGTCATTCCCAGTTAGTTATGATTCAGTTATCCTCCTAATGTTGAAGTTCAACTATTCCAAAAGTTCTGTTGACTGCTTGATGATGATTCTGTCAGCTACACCTGTGAATATTTTATAGGTTACTTCTTCAAGGAGCTGAATGCTATTCTGAAGAAGTACCTGATGCAGGAGAGGTTGAGAGAGCCAATAGCTTCAGCAACAGGTGTGGTTCTTGATGAATTGTCTCTACCTTCATGTGTGCTTGGTGAACTACAGGTGGGTCTCTTCCCTTTAGTAATAGAAACTTGGATTGATTGATGTGCTATTGCATTGATTTGACATATTTCTTTCTCAAAACACAATTGTTTAACAGGAGATTGGGAGGAGATTAATGTATAGTCCAGACAAGGTGAACATGAAAGACATCATGGGTGCCATTGTGTCCCTGAAGAAGGTTCAGGCTCATCTAACCCAATTGGGGAAACAGACTCTCTACGTACTCCTTCCATCACTCTTCTTCCTTTTCTGTGAGCTGAGTTTAGAACATTTCATTGCACCTGCTGATGTATAATACTGACAGCTTGCTCTTGTGTCTTAAATAGCCAATAGGTTCCCAAAAGAGGAGATGGAAACTTTAGTGGCAAGCCTCAGGGATGTACATGATGCAAAGGATTGCTCATGGATGAATGGTTTTCACCTGCAACTGGCCTCTTTGACCTTCAAGGGTCAAGGACGTACCAATGGTTGTGGCTGGGAGGATCTTATGAAGTCCTTGATCAAACATGGAATTTCCTCTCCTGAGCAGTTTGAAAATGCTGCTCTCATGCTTCTCAAGCTAGATCTTCATCAGGTGACTTGTTTCTTTTTGTCACTGTTAGATGAGCAGAGATGGGCAAGATAGGATTTATGCTTTAGTCAAATTAAGATTCATGAAAGCTATGGCTTCAATTACTTATTCCAAACTTGATTTAGACTTTCATGTGATGCTGCTTATAACACATAAATGTGAATTGTTTTATGGCAATATACAGGGCCACCTGGAGGTTTCCAGGGGCCCTGGGCAAAACTAGACCAGAGGATCCTTGGGGCCCCTTGGTACGTGAGGCCTAGGGCAGATTATCCCCAATACCCCCCCCCCCCCTTTCCTCTGGGCAGCCCTGGCAATATACAGAATATATATGCCATTATTTGGGGTGTACTGATCATAGAATGGCTGATGAGCTATTGGCCAAATTATATCTCTACCCATTGGTATTTGTGGGCATATGGTATATTGGGAATCCCTTATGCCAGAGGTGCCTTCAGTGAAGTTATTTAGAGAAGAGCTGACTGGTTTGGAATGTCCTTTCATGCTGCTGACTCTAATTGATGCCTTTCATTATTAACTGATATGTGAAAAAAGAAATCAAAGCCAGTACACATTGTTCAAAAAGGCCTCTTTTCTCTGTGACAAGCTCACAGCTGGGCGAGTCACTATCAGCAAATGGTGCTGCCATATTCTGGCTTTGATTTCTGGTTAGGATCCTAGATAGTTTGCTTGTAAAAAGGGAATATACATTTATTGACTTGGTTTTTTTTTAAATCACCATGTGAACTTTTTTTATTCACTCCATTAGCAGAAAATTGCCTGTTAGCAGTATGCAGAAATTCCGTTTCTTATGCATTATTACATCCCTGTACAAAGTTAAGCAGTAAACATTTCTTTCCCTGCATCCAACGTATAGCTACAATCTGAATCACCAATCCAAATCACCCAATCATATAACTGCATCCAAAGCATTTCTCAGATCATCATGAATTTTCCTTGTGATAATTGTGGTTCCTCATTTTTTTTTTTTACAGGAAACCCTGAATGGTTTGGGTCGGTGTTTGGAAGACCTGAGTATGACCTCAAAATACCATACTGGGGCCATGGAGTGGATGTCGTGGTTTTGTAGGGATGAACCCTTTACTTGACGAATAAACTTTTTACATTATCAATGCTGAATTCTTTCATGCTGTGTGAGGCAAAAGTTGGACTCCTGTCTATTTTTCAAGTCCTGTCTGACGATATTGTATGAATGTACATGTTATTCATTGCATCTGGTGATGCTGTTGTAAATCATGGACCTTTGCTAGGCTGGAAAGTTCCGGAGACGGCCCTGAACCAAGTTGCAATTGTTTTACGAATTATCGACTACATACTGCTAAGCGAATAAAAGATGAGGGGGCTGAGGAAAGGGTAAGGAGGAAGAGGTTGCTGCTCGAGGCATTTCCTAGGGCAGGTGATATAGATGATAGGTGTTATAGCCCTTACACTCCTGCATGCAGGGGATTTGCAACCAGGGCCGGCCCTAGCTATTTCGGCGCCGTGTGCAAAGAGACTCTCAAGTCCCAAGGCCGCCCCCCGCACACCCACCCGAAAGAAGGGTCAACCTCTAGCGTCCGAAATGACGCCGAAACGGATGGCATTTACACTTCCTAAGTAAAACTGAGGGTGGCATCCATTATTGCTTCATACATGCAGGCACTTTTTGGCGCCCCTGGTGAATTTGCGCCCTGTGCGGGGGTACGTATGGCACATGCCTAAGGCCGGCCCTGTCACAACCGCCCCAGCCAAGTAAACCCGGAACTTCACCTAACTTTAACTTTCCATCCTGGATTACCTGAATTTTTCGAACTTGCTTGTGGAGAGCCTCCTCATTGGAATTTTTCCACAATTGCGCTCCATGCATGGCAAGGACACAACCGTGGTTACATCAAAATTAGTGTTCGCCTAATTTTGAAGATTCACGTTGTGAGGACACAATTTTCAAGAGTACCTTTTTTGGGACGCCACTAGATATTTCCTTAATTTTATTCCAGACTATCCTACACGGTGTGCTTGAAAAATCAAGCCTCACTCAGGACCGGCCCTGGCTATTTCAGCGCCCAGTGCAAAGAGATCTCCCCCCATACGCACACATTTTGATAAGGACGGGCTTCCACTTTCTGAAGTAATGCTGAGGGTGACATCTATTATTGCTACATTCATGCATTTTGGCGCTTCTGGTGAAGTTGTGCCGTGTGCAGGGGCACATGTGACACAGGCCGGCCCTGGCCAAACTATCTATGAAAAAATTACTTTAACCCTTTCTCTCACCCAGTACACAAATTCGGAATGCGACCGAAAACAGTAGTTGATTATTTTATACTTTTTCACCTATTAATGCAACCCAACTAGTTGTCTCATTAAAGGTGTCGTGACGAAAAATATTGAAATTAGAAGCTAATTTGCATATTGGGTGGTATTATTTGTGTTATATGCAAAAAGAACTAAGGGTTCTAAGGAAGACGAGTGGCGAAAAATTCGTGATCGAAACGGTTTAGAAAAAAAAAACAGACAAAATTGGAAAGCTAAAAGCAGGCCTTCTTTAGCGTTGTTTAGAGGAGAAAAAATCCCTGATCTTAGCTTGGACTTATAAAAAATACAGGAATATGAAACCTGTGAGCGAGGTCGTAAAAGAGCCATGGAAATTGGTAGGCAAACTTATCGAAAAGGGAGACTACATGCTTACCACTGCTTTTATTGTCCAACTGAGCCCCAATTTCTTCTGTAGTTCAAAGGAGGTCGTTCTTTAGGAGTGAAACTCTGTTGCAATTTGTAGCCCCTCGGGGATTTTCAGCAAAGCTGGCTTCTAAAACCTTGGTTATTTCGTTTTGTTATGTGCGTATATGTTATACAATTTTGTGACTGTCACAAAATTCTAGCAAAAATATGCATTCGATCTGATTTCTTGACCGTCCTTCGATAGAGATCTCTTTGCCGACGGTGTCGGAACGGAAATCACGGGGTGATCTTGAATCTTGATCGAACTTGAATCTCAAGGAACGAGGATTGCTCGAAACTTTCCAAGATCGCCCAGTCAACGAAGAGATAATACTTTTCGGTATTTTTTAATGTCAGACTGAGAGATGAGAGGAAATCGTCTCTCCTCTTTTTTATTTATTTTTTTTTTATTTCCCCTTTCCCAGGCCGTTCCAGTTGGCCAGTCTGCCGATCCGATGATCTGGTTCACTCACCCTGGCTGAAATATTAAGCATGACGACAAAGGTTTTTGAAGAGGCAGAATTTCGTTTCGGAAATGTCTCTTTTCTAACCAGAAATACCTTAGTTCTAGCTATAGCACTACAGAGTACGTTTTGAGTGGTTAGATTAGTGCGCTGGGATGCATTTTCAAAATAATTACATGGGACAAAAAATATATTTTATTTCCTTTACCGTGATTTCTCTTTCGATTTGTTCACTCATCATCGATTTGTTCATCGCCCATGACAATACGGAAATAAGGGCGATGGAACCTATTGAATCAGCATTGCCCCATATTACAGTGTTATCACCTTAGTCCGACACCAGATACGAGGGCTGGTCAATGTATTCTCGGAAAAATGCTTTTATTGTTCTTTGATTTCGCCAACTTTTTCAGGACACTTTCTTCAACATATTAGTACTTCTCAAAATATTTTCCGCCATGATCGATGCACTTTTTCATGCGACCAAACCCTGCAGAAAAACAGTCCTGCAAATCGGCTTCTGAAAACTTCTCCAGTTCCTCTTCCATCGCCTTCACAAGATCATCCTGCATGTCAAAACGCCTCCCCTTCAGATTTTTCTTCATTTTTGGGAAGAGAAAGAAGTCGCAGGGTGCCAAATCTGGTGAGTAGGGCAGCTGGGGAAGTTGAGCCAATTTCTTTGAGGCCAGAAATGATTGGATGACTTTTGTCTTGTGCCCTGAAGCGTTGTCAAGGTGCAAGAAGATGTTGCGGTCCTTTGCTTTTGATCGCTGTTTCTCTAAAGATCCCAGCACCTTGGGCAAGCAAACAGTGGAATACCACTCCCCAGTCACTGTGGCACCTTTTTCAAGAAGTACAGGTGGCAGGATGCCCCAGCGGCGGAAGAGAATGGCGACCATGACTTTGCCAACACCTCGTTGGCGGCAGAACTTCACCGGAATTTCTTCACGTTCAGCAACCCATTGCTTGCTCTGGTTTTTCGTCTCTGGGTCGTAGAAGTAGATCCAGGTTTCATCACCTGTGAGGATGTTTCTCACAGCTTCAGAGGCTCCACCGTCGAATTTCTGAAGCATGAACTCACAGAAGTCCACACGAGCTTTCATGTGATCCGGTTTCAGCTGGTGCGGAACCCATTCACCGGAATTTCTTCATGTTCAGCAACCCATTGCTTGCTCTGGTTCTTTGTCTCTGGGTCGTAGAAGTATATCCAGGTTTCATCACCTGTGAGGATGTTTCCCACAGCTTCAGAGGCTCCACCGTCGAATTTCTGAAGCATGAACTCACAGAAGTCCACACGAGCTTTCATGTGATCCGGTTTCAGCTGGTGCGGAACCCAACGAGCACAGAGCTTCCTCATCCCAAGGTGTTCATGCAGGATCTTGATGACCGAGCCATGTCACAGAAGTCCACACGAGCTTTCATGTGATCCGGTTTCAGCTGGTGCGGAACCCAACGAGCACAGAGCTGCCTCATCCCAAGGTGTTCATGCAGGATCTTGATGACCGAGCCATGCGACACCCCAACAAGCTTCTCTAATTCCCTGGTGGTGATCCGTCGGTCCTCGTCGAGGTGTCGCTTCATGCTGGCAATGTTCTCTGGAGTGACAATGAAATTTGGACCACCTTCACGGGGATCGTCTTCGAGGCTGAAGGAGCCAGATCGAAAGCGCGCAAACCACTTGTAGACAGTGCTCTGGGATGGAGCTTGGTCCGCAAGTGCCTTTTCAAGGGTTTCGAAACACTGCCGCCGAATTTCCCAGCCGAAACTGCACCGAAAATTGCCCCCGCGTTTGTCACGGCTCGTCAAGGATGGCAAGACCCTCTGACTCGTTTCATTTCGCTTGCGCTGGCGAGTCTCCGTTTTAACGCAGGGATCAGAAAGTAGAAGGGAAAACTATTAAGATACGTAAGAATACACAGTGAAAAAATCGAGGGGATCTGACAAAAAGAAGTCACTTTTTCCGGGATCTCTTTGACCAGCCCTCGTACTCGAGAGGATACCGGTCTATCCCACTGCCCACGCATGGATGTCTAAGTCAAGTGATGTCAGGCTGAAATGAAAACTGATGTAAAACTAGTACGAATAGGAAGTGAAATAACTGTCGTTCGTTTTTGCGGAGGATCGCAACCATGCCTGCGGTAAGGAAATTCGTCACTGGGTCAAGTAGGACACAAGAAATGTGAGAAATTTCCTTTACAGGCACCTAGGGCGCAAATCCAAGGCCCAAAGCCTGATCCCTTAAGCAGCTCAAACAATGGAAATACAAATATTACGAGAGATAAAACAAACGCAGGAGAAAAATTAGTGCTTAAGTTTTACCTCTGTCAAATCTACCAAAGGGGTGGGCCTACTGGTAGATTATACGATTATACGATTATACATATTATACGTTATGTGCACACCCCCCACCCCTATGCACCCCACTATGCACACTGAGTTCTGCTTAGGCTACATAACTTAAGGAAGTTTCTTATGTTATCAGGGAAGAAAATGATTCAGGAAGTGTAATGTGAAACAACAAATTTAGATGAAAAATCTTTGGGCATTGGTGAAGTCTCTCAATTGTCTGGATCAACTAACTTGCCACAATATCGTATGATTTCTGAACTAATCCAACCCAAGAGCACTTTTAAGAAGTTCAATCAAAATCAAAAGGGAACATTCCTCATATCAAGTAAATTTGAGCTACTCAAGGAATTAAAAGAACCTCAGATTGCTGTTTTAACAAATTAGGTAGTCAACCATGGACTCTCTGTAAATTGGAAGTCATCAACCCCTTACTAACATTGATATGTCAGTAACACATAAAATTAGCACAAGAAGACAGTGAGGGCTTCAATTCAGCAAAAGCTGCAATTAAATAAAGCACAGGATAGCTATGTTGATGCTCAATCTCAGACTCAATCTTGAGTAAATCAAATACA